AAAAAAAAACATAATATAGAGAACCATTATATATATTTGGATCCAACTAAACAATTTAACAAATAATGTTATCGAATAAAGAGAGAGAGAGAGAGGATGTATAAGAAATTTATTTGGATTTTTGATAGAGTTCAAATGTGTTCTGTAGTACCTACTTATATACTCAATTGTTTATTCAACCATTGTTTATTCTTCTCTTCCTGCTGGATTTATATAAATCATAGCTATTCGTTTTTTGTAACATTCACTTTTATTGCCCCAAAGAACGAGGTTGGAAATTCGTTGGTCTCATTATCTGTTTTTGTATTTTGAGCGTATTTATATGCATTAAAAATACAGGATGTTCAGACAGTCATTAACTAAAAAGAAAACTTTTATACTTCCATTATAGTCCTATTGGATGAACTGTTTTTCGTATTAATTGTGGAGAATAACAAAATAATATGTAGGATTGTTTCTTGATTTTTTTCTAGTTTGATTGATTATTGTAGACTTCATGTCATCCAAGTCTAGTTCTCTTCCTTTATAAACATCTTTTGGACATTTTTAACAAATTAGGAACATCAATATCAAGTCTAGTGTCTGCAAAAACGCTTAAATCCTGTTGATTTACTCAGTTTGCATTTCATCGAAGTCTGTGATAAGGGAGAAATAAATGTTTGTTGAACATAATGTGTCAATCACTCTGGGTTTTCTTGATGTGTTAAAAAAATGTTTCTAAAAGAAGAAGAATAGGCCTAGATCATAGGAAATCTACAATAATAAAACAAAATGGAATAAATTCAACACACTCCCATATATTGTTTTTGATAACCTCAAAAAAAAACGACTTTAGTTGTGCGTTGAATGTATAATTGTTACTTTGTAAGAATATTTGAAAAATCCATATTATTGAATAAAACTTTGAGCTATCTTCTACCATCATTACAAAGACCGACGTATACAATAGAACTTTAATGGAAATATAAAGTTTTCTTTTCGGTCAATGAATTTTCAGGCATCCTGTACTTTAAGCAAACATGTGACGATGAGGGAGAGGAGATACAATCCCATTTATCATCTTACTTTTAGAAAATTGTATATGTACTTTTTCAAAACTCAAAATTTCTTGACATTCTACTACTTTTGACTCATCATCACATCCGTGACTTTATTTGATCTTATGAAATAAAAGACTTAGTTACTTTTAGATCAGATTAGGAGATCTCCAATGTAGATCACTCTTAGTGCTACAAGTGCATATGGACAAAATTTTTCTTGCCAATCGTTCTACACTTTGACAAAATATCAATCTCATTATTTTTCGTAGGCCCTAAGTAATATGTGAAAAAAAAAATTGTCCAATTTGGTTATCAGAAACAAAAGCTATTAATTAAATACAATTAAAATCTAAATGGTATCGAAAAGTTGTAATTCACTCATATCCAAAAAAAATTGAGAACTTCAAAGAAAAAAATTGTAATCTTTAAGATTGATAAAGTTGTCTATTGTCTCTGTTACATATAAATACTAATTTAGATTTACTATTGAATGTTTTATGAAACTAATTGCATTGAATATTAAATATTTTACTATTCCATGGAATGTATTTGATTTTATTATTGTAATTGCATCAATTCTTGGTATGTTGTTTTATTTGATTTATTTTTATTAAAAATATTATTTCTTTTTGTTTTTTTTTCTTTCTAGGACAAACATTAGGAGAAATTATAGCAAAATATTTTGTTAATCCAACATTATTACGTGTTGTTCGTGTTGTTCGTGTTGGAAGAATATTACGTCTTGTGAAAGGTTCGATTTGATAGAAATGAATAAATCGTAGATTTTTTAAAGTTTTTATGTTGTTTTCTTTTTTAATACAGGAGCAAAAGGTATTCGAACATTACTTTTTGCATTAGCTGTTTCAATGCCTGCTTTATTTAATATTGGTCTTCTTCTTTTTCTTATCATGTTTATCTATTCAATATTTGGTATGTCATTTTTTGCTTATGTAAGAAAAACAGCTGGTATAACAGACTTATTTAATTTTGAAACATTTCCCAATTCAATGATTGTACTTTTTCAAATGTGTACAACTGCTGGTTGGTCTAGTGTTTTTCAAGCATTAACAAATGATCGACCACCAGACTGTGATCCAACTATAAGCACACCATCACATAAAGGTGATTGTGGTGATACTGTTATTGCAACACCATTTCTTGTGAGTTATGTTATAATTACTTCACTTGTTGTGGTAAGAATATAAAAAAATTTTATTTTCAAATTTTCTAATTTCGTATTATCATTTAGGTGAATATGTATATTGCGGTAATATTAGAAAATTTTTCTCGAGCACAAGAAGATGTGCAACAAGTAAATAGATGAAAAAAAAAAGTTTTTTTGGTCTTAGTTTTTTTTTGTTTAGGGCTTAACCGACGATGATTATGATATGTATTATGAAAAATGGCAACGTTTCGATCCATCGGGTTCACAATTTATACGATATGATCAATTATCAGATTTTGTTGATAGTCTTGAACCACCATTACGTATTTCTAAACCAAATAAATTATTACTTGTTGCTATGGATTTACCAATATGTGAACATGATCGTATGCATTGTGTTGATATACTTGATGGTCTTACAAAATATTTTCTTGGTACACTTAATGCACCAATAGTAAGTACTGAAGCTGATGCATCAATTGATATAAAAAAAGATCGTCCAAAAGATTATCATCCTATAACAACAACAGTACAACGTCAACGTGAACTTTATTTAAGTCGAATGGGTTTAAAAGGTTTTCGAACTAATGTTGAACAACATCGAAGTGAACGAAAAAATCGAAAGCCAATACATGGAAAATCTACAATTGATGAACTCATTGAATTAGATGACTTAAAAACACCAACATTACTATCGAACGATAATAAAAATCAAGAAACGAATTTAACAACATCAATATGATTAAAACAATAATGAATACAATACTATTTTTTTTTGATACATCATCAATTTGTCGTTTTGCAACGGAATCATCTTTTTAATGGGACTAAAAGAACATAGAAGATAATGTTTATTTATTAGGCTTGATCTGTTTGCGATAATATGCTTACTCTATGCAGAATTGAATTTCTGCCTGTATATACATATATGATTGCAGTGAAGTTAAATCCACTGATTGAATTGAGATGTTTATATGCATTTTAATAAAACGGTTACATTCTTTCATATCTATTGAAAAAACAAAAGTTTGAAATTCATTAATCGAACTACTTCTATTGTATGGAATTTTCCTTTTTGTCTGATAGATCTATCAGTCTATTGTCACTTACAAATTGAAATACAGATATTGACAATTATTACGTGAGTACAATAGTCAATGTGAATTTACAAAAGATTTTCTTTGACTGTGATTTTAACGATCAATAAAGTATACAAATGATCAGTATAAGGATTAAATCAAGGAGAAAGAATCTCATTCGGACGTTTCGAGCTATTCCCAGTCATTCTAAACCATTCCAAGTCATTCTGGGCCATTCGAATGGCTTGAAATGAGATTTTTTCCCGTTGGATTAAATGGTGAATACTTGACTCACACAAGTCCACTCCAACCCAGAACCACGTCGACGCCCACACTCGCATACTTCCACTCACATCCAATCATACATATTTTAAGCATTTTTTTCTGACCAAAAATTCACCTATGGTCCCCTCAGGCCTGTTTCTCTAAAACATTGCTCCTGGTCCCCCAGTGGTTGAGTTTTGGTCGGAAAAAATTTCTTAAAACATGTATGATTTTATCGGATTTTTCATGCAGATTCTGAATATGCTATCTATTTCGCTTTTTTGCTGAACCATGATAATAAAAACCGCTAAATACGAGCACATTTCCCATGCTTTTATTCGATTTTGCTACTAAATGAGTAAAAAAGCTCAATTTTCTCAACAATAAAACAAAATCTAAAAAAACCAAAAAGGTACTTTTGTAGCCCATGATCTGACGATTCTAGTGAGATAAGACACTTTCTTCTATCTCTTGTTACAAAAGACTAGACAGATTTACAAGATTAATCACAAATACTTACTTTTGAGCATGTTGAGATATCTATATTGGACAGGAATTTTTTAAATCTTTTTTAGCTTTAAATCTAATCGAATTATATTTTCTTACTTAGTTTTTCACGCTGATTCCGAATATGATATTTTAACAAAGTTTAACAAAATAGATATCCTTCAAATTTAACAATTTCTATAATAGAAACACAATATAGCTGCTATATAAGACATTTCTAGTCATTCGACTTTTTTAGCATTTCTCTCAGACAAATACCGATCGAATCGAAATAAAATATATATATTGGTAATCAGCTTTTCACACTCTATCAATCAATATATAAATGAACGAAAAACAAAATCCACTGAAATTTTGCATTTCCCCAACCTTTACGTCACTCATTACAGATACGTATATAATTGTAATTATTATATGTGTAAGTCCTGGCATGAATAAGCAGAGCATTGATAGGATGGAGAAATCTTCAAAATAGACAAGAAACAGTAAAATTCGAAGATGCATTCGAGCGATAGAGGAGGCCGATGTGGGTGAGCATGTATTGTTTTCTAACACCCACATGCGCCACAGTCACACTGTACCATTCCTACGCTCATTGATGCTTTTAGGCTAGTTCATTTCTCAGAGATATTTCTAGTATGTGAAGAAAACGATTTGTTTTCTCTCTGACGAACGAAACGTAGCAAAAACCATAAGAAAGACGATTTAACAAACAGAAAAAAATGAAAATTATTGTTCACTAAACTATTTCTTGGCTATAATGACGTATTCCAGTGTTAGTCATCTTTATTTCACTAAGTCAGAGAGTAAGCATAAAAAAGAATTCAATGGAAGTTAGTTAGGAATTGATTCTGTATATCATTAGAATAGATAGAAGATCAGAAGATGATAATAACGTGATGGTGTTTGTATTAATGCAAAAAAACAAGAACAGAATTCTCTCTTTTAAATCAAATCGTTAATGTTCATGGGCAGTTCTTCGATTCGTGTATTATAATATTGTTCAATGTGATGTAACGTTTGTTGTTCATCATTAGTAATGAAATTGATAGCCGTACCTTTTCGACCGAATCTGCCACTACGTCCAATACTTAATCAAAAGAACAAATTTCATTTGTTTTCGACATAATTGATTCTTACCGATGAACATAGCTCTCACGATTAGTCGGGAGATCATAATTGATAACAGGACTAACTTGTGGAATATAAGTATCACTTTCAAGCATATCTGTTCTTACTAAGATTCTACTAGAACCTGTTCGAAATTCTCTTATGGCATCATTACGTTGTTTTTCATCCATATCAGGATGCTACAATAAAAAAGAAAATCAATCTGTATCTCAATGTATGACTTTACAAATAATTATTTCAAAATAATCATCATGAAACTGACTAGAGCAGACACAGTTAAATTACGTTCACGTAGTTTTTCCGTTAACCAATCGATCTTTTGACGTGTGTTACAAAAGATGACAGCTTGTGTGATCGTTAATGTATCAAATAAGTCATATAATGTATCTAATTTCCATTCCTAGATAAAAATAATTAAATATCAGTTCATCATTATAGAATGACAAGTATGTCTATCTACTTCACGTTCGACATTCACGTAAAATTGACGAATACCTTCGAGCGTTCGTTCTTCTATTTTAAAAAGAATTTTCACAGGATCATTCATAAGTTTAGCTGTAATTTCGAGTAAATCGAAGACCTTTGTAGCCGATGTAACCATGACCTGAACATTTTCTGGCAGCATCGTAGATAAATCATAGATTTGGTCTTTGTAACCACGAGATAAAAGCTCATCAACTTCATCCAATACGAACATTTTGATATTTTCACTATCTACGACGTTAATGAGAATGAAAATACGACACATATAAGACATAAATCACGTACGAAGTACTGATCTCTTTAACATATCATAGATTCGACCAGGTGTACCAACAACAACTTGGACACCTGCTTCAACCTGTTTCATATCCTCACGAAACTTTACACCACCAATACAAGCATAACATGTTACATTCATATGTTCACCTAGTGCTAATACTATTCTATGGATCTAAATTACAAATAGAATTAAGAAGTTGATAAGAAACAAAGATTACATGCCAGAGAAAACTATACCCCTTGAGCCAGTTCACGCGTTGGTACCAGGATTAATGCTTGACAGTCTTTGCACTCCATGTTGAGTTGTTGTAAAACTGCAATAATGAAGGTTATCGTTTTGCCCATGCCTGATGGTGCTTGTACAATCACATCGTAACCTTTAAGAAGAATGAATATTTATTGAACAAATTTCAGTTCTAGAGAAATATCAGAAAACGAACCTGAAGTACATGCTTTGAGAGCACGTTGTTGAACATCCGTAGGACGTTCGAGACCATAGCCGTAGATACCATGTAGAAGTGGTTCGCGTAAGTTCATCTGATCGAAGTGCTCAACCACTTCTGTCAAGTGACTTATAGTGATTTCATCTCGCGGCAAAGATAGTTCGATCTCATTATGTTCTCGTGAAAGGATATCTGTGCTTGTATGCTGGTGAGTGTCATTTCTAAAAATAAATATCAACGATTCAGTACGTGATTCTTTCGAAAATCAATCTGCTCGCGAGGTGGCTATAATGATTTAGCAGTTATTAGATGGGTCTTAGAAATATTCATCGAAGACCTACGAATCTATACAAGGTTTAGACTTATATCTTTGATCAAGCAAGAGTTATAGGTACCTTACTGGAAACTAAAAACCGATTTTTCTAGCATTTTCTGTTCAACAAAAATCGTTTTTTTCGATTTCTCGGTTGTGAAGAAAAATTATTTATCCACTTCTTTTCTTAGGAAATTCTCAAACATAACACACATAAATACTCTCTTTCTCTGCTAGCAAGCCAAGTAAAAATATGCAAATAGTGTTTTTTGTCTTAGAGTTCATACAAGAAGCAATACGTACTCCAAAGGAGATGTGGTTTCGCAGTCGTTTGCTTCGATTTTCGTTTCACTATTGCTCATAAATGAAGATAAAAAGATAATGTATTTGAAATCCAATTGATCTACAAAAAACCAAGAACATGATTACATGACAACCAATCAAAAATCAACTATGAATCAACACCATTTATATTCCATTTAACGCACATTGACGAAAAAAAAATTCGATCA